TCGTCTGTTGGAAAATAAGTGGGGTTTTCTAGACACCAAACAGCAGTCTGGTGTACTAGAGGAAATCGTGGTGTGTGTTGATAATCAGAAGCGGTTGCGACTCAGTAACAACCTCGATCTGTAGGTAAGCATCTGCCAGGTCATTCTTGGCGAAGCAGGTACCACCATTGAGCATGGTGAACAGGGCGGCTGGAGATGGCAGTGAGTAGCAGTTTGGCTCCAGTAAAGTATGGAGGCTAGTGGAGAAATCGACACAGATACGGAGGGATCTATTGGGTTTCTGGGCCACAGCGATCAGGGCTGCTTAAGCAGAGTAAGAGACGGATACCAAAACACGCATATCTTCCAATATTTTGAGTTCAACATCGACCAATGGGAAAGCTACGTAAGGGTCCGGCCTTTTGAGCGGAATACCGGCTGAGCGCCGGAAGCGAGCTTAACACAGCGTAAATGCCAGTACAATAACCAAGACCATCCTGGTACACTTGGGCAAACTGTCTGGTGATGTCGTCCGTTTAGTCAGTACTGCCGGAGATTGTAAGGTGCTGCAAATGCTCCAAAGTGGCAGATCAGCCAAGCCAAGGCGATTGTGCCAATGGAAAACAAGTAGCTTGAGCTTCGCCTTTGTGTTGTAGCAGATCCCGTCGAATGTGAAGCCTAAGAAGGAGACGAAACACTGCAACTGCCCAGTTAGCTGCACTCAGCTACCACAGGCACTGGTGACGGATTGAATGGTTGAGTGATTGGCGGTTTGCCAAGGAATCGCCAGTTTTACGCGGAGAGGATCGCGATATCCGAACCATTGTCCAGCTGCCATCGAACAGGCTGCCCAGTGATCAGGACGTCGCCTAAATTCCTGCGATCAGTGTTGAGTTGGAAGGTGGCGGGCTAGATCATGGTGCTGCCAACCGGACCAGGTTCGGGCATACTTTGAATCGCGACCTCTTCCTTTTTACTGATGGTGTGGTCCAGGCCAGATTTGACATCCTTGCGCGTCATAGGATTGCAGTAGCCATCATGGTGACCCACCCAGCCACAACGCTGGCATCTGTGCTGGCGGAAGTTTCAGTCTCGGTGGAAGTGTCAGGCACCGCCGAATAGGCATGGATAAGGTGGAGGCTTTGCCAGGTCGATTTAGGTAGACCGCCCAAAAGGTTGCGGCATTGGCTCTGCGACTGCATGGAGCAGACCAGGTGCTGGAGAATTCTGGTTCATGGTGGAGTTATTTTCCAGATTTGTCAGCATTTGACACTCTTCGCCTAAGTTCTGGAATGTGATCGTATTGTCCTGCTACAACATTGCCGGAAGGCGCGTTCGAATATCAGCGTCGTGACCGGATTGGAGGTAAGAAATAAAATACAGGCATTTGAACCGGTTATCAGTGGGGCAGCCAAGTTGGAATCGTTCGTATTCCTGATTGACCATGGCAGCATAAGTGTGAAAATTATCGGCATCCCTCTATGTCAGCTGCAGACGTTGGAACCCAGTGTTGAAAAGCGAAGCCTGTATGTCAAAATCTGCGATAGAATGCGGATCATCTGGATAAAGATAATGTTGCAAACGTTCTTTGGCAAGATGCATTTCTTATACCGTTGGTGCTCAGCAGTAACCATTTTGTACAGAAGATACCGGACATTCCACGCTTCATCCTGGCAAGTCAGGTCAATGATGATTAGGTCATCGTGTCGCTTACACCAATAATCCTAACTGACATGATCGCCGGCATCATACAGGATCTCTGAGATACAGCCAGCGATATTGGCAACCGATTGAGAGTTTCCTGCGGAACCTGAATGGATGAAAAAATTGAAAAGCATCTCCGGTATGGCAGACAAAAAAGTAAGCAGTTGTTGAAACAGCGCCTGAAAATCACCGTACGCAAACTTTACGGATTTGATCCTACCTCCGTCGCCACGATTTTACAAATGCCTCTCCATTACGTCACACTCTGACCCGCTAGAATCAACCCACCTACTCGACCGAGCGAATCTAGCTTGGAGCCATTTCACGCACGACAAGTACCCAACCAAATTCGACGTTGTGCGACCCATGTGACGTAAACGCAACAAAGTTAGTACAAGCGAGTTGAATGGGCTCCTAGACCGGACGCAATTTCACATGCAGCTACCCAAACCCAAGGGAACAAGACAAAAAGACAAGTCTTTTGCTTAGGCAGTTTTACCGGCTAGACACAAAGCGATTACAGCGCAGTCCATCGTTTCTTTTATACACCGATGCTGCCAATGGTTTGCGTAGACAAACCTTGAAAACAACTGAATTGCTACTATGCAAATGTGTCGACGGCCCATGTTGAAAAGTGCATGTTGGTAGATGCGGAGGCAAGACTGAAAAAAGTAATGTTTCTTAGGTAAGAAGCTGAATGTTTTATTGTTGCAGAGGCGGGCTGGAAACGGTAATGTTTTCTGAGGTACAAAGGCCAATCGAGACGTGAATGTCTCACGAGTTGGAAGACTAATCGAAACACGGGCACTTGTCTGGAACAATTCTCATTGCCTTCCGTATTTTATGCTCATGATACTTATTGGAAGTTAGGTCCTCATAACACATAGGGAATAAAGAAATGGGCCAATAAACTTGGCCATACAAGTCCTCTTGCTAGTCTAAGCCATTGTTTAGGTTCTACGTCGGACGTGGTGCATTCTCGATGTTAATACTTCCTCCGCATTCGTGCGCTTGCGTTCACACTTCAATGCGATTGGCTTCACGCAACTCATCCTGCCTTCTATCCAGTTAATACCATCGTTAAGTCAAACCGCTTTCATTTGTCATTGTTCCTTATTGCCAAATCTGGCGACGTGAGTCGTGCTAACTACATTCACGGCACTTTGGTGCCCGGATCGTGATTTTTCATTTACACTAAACTGAACTGAAACACCCAGATTATCTGTAAATATCGTAGGTTATTTAGGAATGATAAATTCCAGATGGAACGTGGCTCACTTCTCAAGAACACAAAATACCAAAAGCGAGAAAATACTCCTCTCCCAAGTTGTTATCATTCCTAATGTGAAAGACCTAGTTGAAATTGGTATCCATTTTCCTACAGTGGTTTTTGGAAGCTTGATTTTAGTCTACCGGCGTGTCCAGCATAACTGTGATTTAACATTATCTTCCATAAAACTGCGGGCACTGGAAATCATATTGCTCTGGTGTGGGTCAGTTTTGTATCATGTGTGCGTTCGTCCGACAATGCGATGTCCAAATTTTGCCTCAGTAGACCCTGTACGTAACGGTTAATTCAGTGCTGCGGCTGAACATCGGTCGGTACAGAACTCACAGGCATCCAGTTTTCCACGAAACAGTTGACTTCAAACACCGACCAGGATGTGTCGGTTGTTCACATGTGGGTAGTCGGCGCATCGTCGCGGCGAAACATGCAGCGCCGTTGAATTTGTGGTAGACAAACACCGCGATTGTGTGCGTCGGTGCATCGCGTGTGATCCGGTTGGATATCTGGACTGCCTTTAGATTTCCTCGGTGTTATTTGTTGGTACGCCTTGTGCGGAATTTTACAGGTCGTGAAAGAAAATCAGTGGACGTATTCCGGACGGGCTTTAAAGGGCATTTTTATGCTTATCAAACTCAGCAGAAACTGCCTACGCACGAATTGCCAAAATCACATCCGATGACAATTAATTCAGCATTATATTGTATGAATACTACATGTTGTAATTGTTGGATATATTTGTCCATAGGATCCTGACTAAAAACAGCAACCATGGGAAAATATTTTTGCCGGTCCTTTACTAGATTACAAATCCTACTACTAGGCCTCTAAAATAGCTGCGTTATATACCTATTCAAACGAGCTGCAACACGTCACATTACAACGGAATTACGGCTGTTGGAATAAAACCTACTATATTAACAAACATTCGATAATCTACCTCAGATGCAGCTTGAAGAAATAAGGTCTTATCAACATCTGCGCACACCATAGCATACAAACAAGCGATTAGGGTTCTTAAACATCAAGAAAGTTTGTGAACTATCAGAGTGGCTGCTGCCATCACAATGAATCTCGGTGGTTCGAAATCCAAGTGTCATCCTAAAGCAATTGCTTTCAAAGCATCAGCATGACGTCGATCATTGCACCCAAAACATTGTTTGTTACCAAATAAAATAAAATGATTGAAACGGAAACTGCGTTTAACTAACTAGAAAGGGACTTCAAGCATGAATCACCCAGCACAAAGCCACCATAAGAAGACATGATATATTTTCATCAGTTTCCTCAAATAAAGATAAAGAAAATCACCACTTCCATCTGAAAATCACTAAGATTCTGGTGCTTGGGACTACTTAGCATGCTAGAGAATTTTGGAAGCTTGAAAATTCAAAGCTAAAACACAGGGTTGCGATCATTTTTTCGCCAAAAGTTATCAAGCGTTTACAAGTAACAAAATCGAGAGTTAGAACAGGATAATTTGTTGCAATACGGTGCTTATTGGTTGAATCAGAAAGTTACTCCCAATAAGCTGAATCGATTGTTTGTTGAAGCACAGGTTGAGAATTTTTTCGACTAAGTAGCTGAACTTCAGTCAACCAGTCCTGATGCTGTCATTTGGTTTAGGAATAAGCTGACCGACATTGCTTATGAAGTCCTAATGGTACCGGTAAACGAAAAGTTTGCGCTTACAAGCCGTCATTTAAAAGCACTACGAGAGCTGAGAAATAAGGGAGTGGTTGTACTAAAACCGGACAAAGGTTCAGGAGCAGTTGTCGTGAACAAGAGTGATTACGTACAAAAAATGCTAAACGTTCTAAGTGACGAAACCAAGTTTCAACGCACCGACAGGATAGAATGTCTGACAGAAGTAGAGGCCCGTATAACCCGGCACTTTGAAACGCTTCTCCTACATTGTGTAACTGATGAAACCACCTACAAGCACCTGAAGCCAAGCCATTCCTCGACACCACAGCTGTAAGAGTTACCAAAAACTCACAAGCAGGGCATGCCACTAAGACCCATTTTGTCGATGGTATATTCTCCGCAGCACAAATTGGCTCGCTGGTTAGTTCGGACCCTTGCGCCACTGAGGCAGCACTACAATTTGCACAGCATTATGGACTCTTTTGAAATAATCGAAGACCTAGACCAAATCCGCTTAGCCGACAAGGTTATGTGCTCCGTGGACGTCCAGTTGTTATTTACTAATGTCCCCTTGCTTAATACAGTTGATTACATTTGCCACCTGATAGAAGAGGAGAATATTCGTCTACCAATACCAGCCGACCTCCTGAGACAGTCCCTGTTACTTTGCACGAAGAATGTCGCTTTCCGATTCCAGCACATCACATATCGCCAAATTGACAGAGTGGCTATGGGTAGTCCGTTGGGCCCGGTACGCGCTGATTTTTTCATGTTGAAGCTTGAGAGGAAACTAAGTGGACAAATTTCTCAGCTGCCGTATTCCAAACGATATGTAGATGATATCCTTGTTTTTGGTTCCACGAAGATGCAAATCGAACAACTAGTAGACCAACTTAATAATGTTCATGCCAACCTGAAGGTGATTTTGAATTCAGATTGAATGGGCGTCTCCCGTATCTAGACATTCTCATGAGTCGCAGGTATAATGGGCTGATTAAGCGATCTGTATACCGGAAACAAACGTGGTCCGGCCAATACCTACACTTCACTAGCTTCTCACCGATGGCACACAAGCGCGCGCTAGTAAAAACATTATTCACTCGGGCCAGACGTATCTGCTCCAACGACTGCCTGGCTGAAGAGTTAGAGCTGATCACTAAGACACTTATGGAGAATGGCTACCCAAAGCGATTCATAGACAAACATAGCCAAGTTAGACCGCCCAAGGAGATGGTGTTGACAGCCCCTAAGAGGAAGGTGTACATTGAGCTACCATTCAAGGGTGACACCGCATCAAGAAGGATAACCAAAAGCATTGTCTCGGCCATTCAGCGTACATACTGTGATGCGGAGGCGGTAATTATCAACAGAACTCGAAAGATGCCGTTACCTTCAGTAAAGGAAGATGAACCCGTCGGCGCCAAATCACATTGTGTCTACCAATTCGTGTGTGACTGCGGTATCAGTTACATCTGCAGGATCGAACAGGTTTTAGATTCCAGAGTGAAGGAACACTTACCAAACTGGGTTCAGCGAGAAGTTACTCAATCCACCTCCGATGATACGTGCTCACGTAAGCCGCCAGCGTCCTCCATAGGCAGGCACATGTTGGCGACTCGTCACCGGGTTAATCCCTTATCAGCGTTCCGGATCTTGTTACGTCATACCAATGCACGCCTTTTACGATTTGCAGAGGCCGTCGCGATAAGCCGAATTAGACCGGCTTTGTGTGTCCAGAGGCAAATAGTTGTCAATCTGCGGTTGCCGTGGACCTAATCCCAACAACAATGCCCACAACCATAAATTTGATTGGCTTGACTGTGTCCTGTAAGACAAATAAAAGGATTTCCCTGTTATTGTATTGGTACTGACGAGATAATACGAAATGCTAGCATCTGCTAATATTCGTCTTCTCATTTCTTTGTTCAAACTACTGAAGGGGACTAACTGTTTCGAATCAGAATCAGACCGAAAATAAGCTCTCTTAATGAATAAATTAAACGGTCAACTCAGGTAGCAGTTACCACAGCTTGCGTAGGCAAGCCTGTGCACACACCCATGAGACAGATCTCAATGAACAATGAACAATGAATTTATACGGGTTAAGAAGCGTTGATTTACAAGCCCCGTTGCATAGTTGGTGGGAATATCCACATAACAATTATGGTGAAAAGGATAGTAAAATAGTTAATATTTTAAATACGAAAATAAGGACTTATCGTCTGCTTCGCTGCAGTCCTGCGATCCTCTTAGATTCACAACACCCACAGTTAACAACAAATAATTCCAGGGTAAACTCCAGGTGTAGGATGGAGACATAGTGTTAAGGAACAAAGTGTAAGTGGATGAGTGCATCGTCCAACCGGATTTTAAATACTGTTAGTGTCGGTGCAGAGAGGACCGATTCTGGGAGAGCATTCCACGGGTGACAGACACGGATGGAAAAGAAATTTCTGCGGCACTCCAGACGACTGTATTGTTCTGCGAGTTCTAATGAGTGGCCCCTCAGATTTGTATTGCTGCTGAGTTGCAGTAGTGGGCGGCACACATGACGTGGGTCTCGCAGAATCAAGTATGTCATCATCAGATCGCCTCGTAGCTTGCGATAGCTTCCACTGAACAATCCTAGTCGTCGCAGCCTCTCCTGGTAGGACCGATTGCGCATTCCAATTACGTTCTTAGATGCCCGGCGTTGTGGCTGATCCAGTGCATTAAGGTCGTGTTTCAGCCATGGATGACAGTCTTGAGTTGCATATTCGACATGGGGGCGAACATACGCACTGAGCATTTGTCGAAATATGGAGCTGTTTATTTGTCCAAACGCCCGCCTCAACAGCCCCACGTGTTGGTTCCCGGTCTCCGAGGCCTTTCCGGATTGCCTGGAGCAACCCAAGTCATGTTGAATCAGGACACCCAAGTCACGTTCGAGAGTTGATTGTTGCAGTACATCCGTTCCAAATCGGTATGAGTAGATGCTTTGATGTCGGATGGAAACCACCTTGCATTTACTGACGTTGAAATGCAATGAGTTTTGGATCGACCATTAATACACCGTATCTAAATCACTTTGGAGCAAATGTTGGTCGACATTCGCCTGGATCCTGCGCCAGATCTTGATATCGTCGGCAAACATTAGAAAGTTTGAAGCGATTCCCTGTGCAAGGTCATTAATAAACACCAAAAACAAACATGAACCTAGAACCGAGCCTTGCGGCACACCACACTCGACTTGTATGGGGTCCGATAAAGAGCTCCGAACTCTGACCACTAATTGCCTTTGAAAAAGAAAGTTGGCGATCCAGCTTAAAAGATGATCGCCGATCCCGTAATGCTGCAGCTTGGATAGTAGTATCCGATGGTCTAGACGATCGAAAGCCTTGGAAAAATCCAGGTAGATCACATCAACACCTTCTCCAGCGTCGGCTGCCTCGGTCCAACTACTGCGTGCAATTAGTAAATTATTTGTACATGACCGCTGTCGACGGAAACCGTGCTGCTCAGGAGTGCTGAGGTTGCAGTTTTCCAGATAGCACACCAGTGCATCGGCAACTATGGATTCCAAGACCTTGGAGAGTATAGAAAGAAGGGTTAATGGGCGGTAGTTAGAGGGATCAAATCTACTTCCTCCTTTGTGAATCGGGCTTATTATTCCAAGCTTCCTCATGGCGGGAACTTGATTCTGGTCTAAGCAGTTCTGAAACAACTGAGCTAAAGGTCCTGACAGTTGGTTTGCTGCTGCTCCCAATGCCTCTGGACGAATGGCGTCGACACCTGGCGAGCTGTGTTTGTCTAGAGAAGTCAGCTTTTGCAATAAAGCCTCTGCGGTAAAACTGATGTGGGTTAGTCCTGGTGAGCAGAAAACAAAGCTTGGTAGATCGCTTGGTGGCAAAGCCCTTTGAAACGTGGGGGCGTTCTGCATCTGCAGCGCGTTTACAGCTTCCATAGAGTTCTTGTTGGGCCATCAGCCGTCTTGAGCGGAGGAAATCCCTGCCTCACCTTTCGTAGGCAATTAATGTGCATGTACAGCAGCTTGTGGCTAGAATTGAAGGTTTTTGCGATGTTCTGCTGATAGGCGACTTTGTCTTCTCTTAACAGTTAAGTGCAGTGGTTACGGCGGGCTACCTAGTTGTCCCAAGTTTCTGGTGCTGGAGCTACTCTGTACACTCGCCATGCTGCGTAGCGCACTCTCATCCATTTTCGAGTTCTGCCCCTAACGAAAGAAACGGATTTGCACTTATTGCAAGCTTTATCTCTGATGCCTGTGCAATCAGCTGACTGAATGTGTTGACGAACTCGAGCCAGACGACTTCCGGGGGTTCTTCTTCGAGGAAAGACCATGTTGTGGCGCTGACTATCTGAGCGAGTCGGTCGTACCTTGTGATGGTTCGCAAAGTCGCATCGTTATCATTCCGATATTCTGCATAGCAGACGAAGTTGAAACTGATGAGTGCGTGATCACTGCGACCCAACGGGCAGTCTAAAACTAACGCATCAATCATATACTCCTCGTTGGTAAGCGCAAGATCCAGCACAGATGGCCTGTTACCAGTTCTGAACCGAGTGGGCAAAGTGATGTGGTTGTAAAGAGGAACAGTAGTTACTAGATCTTGTAAATTGGTTTTGAATTGTTCTCCGGTCGTGGCAGGGGCTTCTAAACAATGTACGTTGAAATCAATCATGATAAGAATGTGTGTGTACTTTTGTTGTGAACTGCACCTTAAGGCAGCCGCTAGGTGGTAGTCGGTTTCGGGTGTTGAGTTAGGGGCGCGGTACACCAAGAATATAAGGCAAGCGTCCCTGCCTTTTAACTGCAACCGGCACCAAAGAGAGTCAGGGATCTGCGAGTCTAAATCCTCCACGGCTTCGCACAATAAGTTCTTTTCGGTAGTAAAATATTACCCCTCCTCCTTTTGTGAGCCTATCTTTCCGGGTCAGCGACATGCCGGGTAGCGACACTTCAGCGTCCGTCATTCCCGTGTGCAACCATGTCTCGGTGATACCAATGACATCATACGAGCCGGAAGCTTGGCGATCTTTCAGTTCAGCCATTTTGTTAGAAAGCCCATGAGCATTTGTATACAAGTAGGCCAGTTTCTCGGTCTCTAGGAGCCCGCAGAGAGGTGAAGCTGTCAAGTTTGGGAGAATGCCGACCGATGGGAGGTTGGCAGTTATTCGTTTTTTTGGTGGGTCAGTGATACCTCGTTTGCAACTTGATTCGGTCCAGGGTGTGTCCCGGCCTTCGTTTAGACCTACGTCAGAGTCAATTAAAACAGCAGTCAAGTTACACTTCTGTACATTCGTCAGTATGCTTACTGCTTCAGTTGCTTTAATACTTGAGCTGTGCGAAGTGTTTGCGACCTTTAACCGAATTTCAGAAGGAAGATGTTTCCGATTTCTCCGCCATCGATCCAAAACATCCTTTGCTTGTTGCTCTGACTGAACCACAAGTTTTAGGATTCTAGGGCCGCATCCTCTATAATTCGATGAGAGAGGTATCCTGGTGAGCGATAGTGCCACAACATTATCCAAAGAAAGTGTTTCACGAATGAACCGCCACTGTTCTAAATCGTGCTTTCCGGTCTCTTGAACATCGTTAGAAGGATGTTCTGGCACGCCATGTATGAAGATTGTGTTTAGGCGGTCTTGCTTGCTGTGCCCCTCTTCGGTGTTTCGTTTTGGTTGTCGCGCGCTCCAAGGGACATCAGGATAGATACGTATCCCACAGGATTCGTGTTTTAGCGCGCTTGCGGAGAGCAAAACGTTTTCTACGTCGGTGGAGGATTCTAGAGTTACTCGAATAAGTCTGGGTTCACCATAGTGTGGCGAGTTCGGATGACGAGTAATTCGTAACAAGTTTATGGGCTTGGCTTTGATACTCATCTGCATACACAATGAGTTCCATTGGTCTTGGTCGTCTGATAACTTATCCCGCAATGTGAT